TCTTAAATCCTTAAAGCATATTCAATTCAATGAGTATTAATTATCTCTCTCCAAAATCAAACAGCCCACTCAGACGCATATACTATTAAATCTGTTGTGCTTCCTGCTCGGGAAGTAGAAAGCAGGAGTTACTAAGAAAATTAACAAAATGAGCAGATGTGCATCTAGAAGAAAACTTGATTTACTAACATATTTAATACATAGATGACAAAACAAGAATTTATTTATTGAAGGTATCTCAGCAATGTCAAAAGACACTGCATTTCAAAGCAGTAGATAAAATTATAAGAATAACGTGTTGTAAGAAGAAAAAAGTACCTAGATCTAGCATAAGAGAATAATATACTAAGTAATGAGAGCCATAATTATTATCTAGACGATCAACGACATACTCTAATGCCCCAATTTCGGAGAGATCAGACTTTCCGTATAGACAAATTGATCAATACCATCGTTATCAATGGTAACTGCATCAGTATCATCACAATCTAGAGGCCACATTCGATTGCTTAATCCAACTGATCCACCGGATATTATCCTATATTCAATTTTTGTTAGTGTTCTCCAATCTTCATAGCCGAGTAGTACTTCACCATCTGAAAACATGTATATTGGTATGATACGCTTAATTCCATTATTTGGCACAACGAAGAATTTTGTCCAAGATTCTTTAACACCATAGTCTTTCATCACCCATAAATTAAAAATTCTCTCGTCCGTGTAATAAACACAAAGCTTTCCTCTCAACACTGATACGCCCACATCAAAATCAACCTTGATTTTATATAAAGGGAGCAAGCACATCGTCTCTGGCAATGCTATCTCTCCATACATTTCATCTGAAATATTAAACGTAACCACGGAAAGCCTTGATAAGATACCAAGCCAATTAAATGCTCCATGTAGAGATGTCAAACGTTCCCTAATAGACAGCAAAGAGCTATCTGTCCTACCCGAGGATTGATCAATTTTTCTCCAGGAACCACTTTTTAGTGCCAGAATTTCATTAGCGTTTTCATCCCCAGACATGTCAATCCTAATAACTTTATAGTCATCAGTAGTAGAGTCATATCCCAATCCATAAGCAGATTCCTCCTGATATTCATCACAAATAAAATTTTCAGAGTGGGGAAGTAGTATTGATTCTCCCGTGGAGGGGTTCCATATCAATAATCCAAATCCCGATGAGAAACAAGCCATCACAACAAGAAAAGACTTTTATACCATCGCCTGATTTAGAATTTGAAGGCCAATCAAATCTCCGGATATCCTTAACAAGTTGAACCAAGGATAAAGAAGAACAATAGAAGTAATATTTTTTATCTTTATTGGACCATTGGGAAAAAAGAAATTTTTGGGAATTGGGTTGGTGCTTAGCATGATTGAGATGTTTTTTCTTAAAATAAGGTTCAGAGATCAATGTATTCCAAGATTCTGAAACACACTTGAAGCGAAGAAGTGATTTCACAGGTAGCCTGCTGAGGATGTCCGCAACTATTTCAGCCTTTTGGATGTGAATTCCCATCACCATACTACAGGACAAAACTTGTTTTTTGGTAGTTCACAGGTTGAACAAACGAAGAAAAAAGACGAAGAAGAAATAAGCTATGGCAATTAGAGAAGTATTTCACTCAATGCCGGCGACTGCAGGTAGCTGTGATCCAGAGAAAGAATATAATGCAGCCGGAGAAAGAAATATGTGTGGAAATAGGGTTAAGCGTTCTATTTATAACTTTGTTTCCTTGTAGAAATAAAATAAGGATTGGAGTGCTTTTTTGTGTTGTCATTGCAGAAGGATTCCACGTTCTAAAAGGAATGGTCACCTTTAACCTAAATAATCAATTATTTAAATAGTTAACCAAAAAAAAAAAACAAGTAACGCAAGTTGATGTAATGCCTGATTTGATGGCTACAAATAAGGAGGATTTTGGTAGTTCCCCATAATGTTTCATTACTCTAATCAGTTCGTTTATATATTCATCATACAGAATAACAAAATTCAAAAGCAACAAAGTAAATACTGTTTTCAATGCCAAGCGGGTTCTGCCTACCTAGTATAAAGGCTTTATGCTTTTCAGATAAAAATTCACATATAAAGTGTTTGACCAAAAAAATGTTAACCTTTGGTTAAATTAATTAATCGGATATTAAAGAGGTTAATCCTAGTTAAAATTAATAACTTCAGATCTAAATTTGGCGGGTAGATGATGTGGATGGCAATGGAATAGATTAAATGCGTAAAATATTAAATGTTTAGAATGTGGCAAAACGTGCGAGATATTGTACACAGTGGGAAACTTCTAAACAAACTAAACAAACAACTGCAGCACTGGGAAACTTCCTCAGTACAGATGCACAAAAGTATCATCTACAATGTCCGAACAAAATTAGGTGCATCTTTCCTGGGCTCAACCAGTGTGCGGTACAAGTACATCTTTTCTAATTTATCATCATCATCATACTCATCGTCAGGGCTAATGATCTCCAGATTGAGCCCTGGCATCTTCTATGCCAGTGTCTTGCATGCTCCAAGGGTCACTTGGCAGGACAACAAACAAAGGGATCGTATCCTTTCATACTTCCTCACGTTCTCCAGGAGTGCCACATTACCAAAAGGGCTATTCATGATATCAAGTTTTTTCAGTTTCTTACACCCATTCAACACATATAGCATCCCGTCATCACTGTCTCCAGCAAAGGGTATGGCTAGAACCTTCAGCTGCTCAGCATACATTCCTATGTAAAGGAATACTTGATCAGTTAAAAGACCAGAGAGTCTCAGCCGCTTAAGGCCTTTGCATGACTGTACGATTGCCCCAAAACCTTCATCAAGTGGCTGCTTAGTCATTGCATCTGGCACTATCGAGTTCCCAGTATGCAATATGAAACGAATTAAATTGGGGCAATTTTTTGCCACAGTTATTAATGCAGCATTAGTCATCTGCTCGCACACATACGACAATGATTTAAGCTTTGGGCAACCAGCTGATACAGCAACCAAGCCTTCTTCAGTAATACCCTGCATCCTCCCTGTGAAGACCCTTAATTCCTGCAGCTCTTTACAAGTAGAAACCACAGAGCAGAGCCCTTTATCTCCAATATTATCTCGTTCGAACCAATAGGCGCTCTAGCTTCGACCAAGTTCGCTAAGATTACTACTGTCGATCCGCGAACAGCTCAAATTCAAGGATGTCAAACTCTGGCAGACTGGATATATAGCAGGCAGGCAGCGAGGAGACACCACAATGAAGAACCCAGACAAGCTCCTAATTGAAGTACACTTCTGAAGAGCATTCTTTAGTTTATTGTAAGTCTCTGAAACTGGACGAGTGACAAAGGTCTCAACCCC